CAGCTGGGATATCCCACGAACCCTGGTGCTAACACCAAACTGGAACCTAAGCTGTACAACCTGTTCGGCATTGGCAGTCTGGAGTTGCCCTTCACCACGCAGCTGGTGGGACAGCAAACACCAACCTACATTTCCAAGGACACATAGGTGGTACAGTTGGCACTTCATTGCACATACAAGTGCACAAGCAAACAAAAAAAAACAAATAGAAACTTCTTTTGTCTCCCAGAACGGAAAAAATCTGATGGCCTTTCAAGCGCTAACTAATTTACAATCAAGCAATGATCACTGCACCTAACTCTTAGCTACTGGAACTGGGAATCAATTATGACCTGTCTGGCTTGTAGTGCCCAATATTGCTGTATGTTACTATGCATATGCTGATACCTCTCATGTGCAATATCCCTATCTTCCTCCTCGGAAGGCTGCTCTCATTCTCCCAGTTCATCAGTCTCCATTCTTACTTTGTTTGATCTAGTTGTGCAGTCCAGGTGGGGGTAGAGAGGGACACTGACTTTCTAGTTAAGGTGCTGGCATTCCTCCAGACACCCGGACTGTTTTAACCTGGGTGACTTTTAAACTGTGAACAAGGCTGTCAAGGTCTGGTGTCATGGCCTCCACTGCTTGTCCTGGGGGTATGAGGTTCTGGCCCATACCTTAGAACTGACATTGACTGTGTCTCAGAAATAGCCTGAAGTGTATATTGTGATAAAAACTGTCATTGAGGAAATATTGTAGACTGCTATTCAAAACAAACATCATGCCTGTGTTAGCTTATCATGGACTTAAAAAATTAGCATGTAAATCCATTTAATTAATAAACCCATGTAATGTGATCATTAGTTACAGCATTTCTCTGAGTCATTGAAGTATTACAAAAATAATTTGATCCAGAACATGTTCTACAAATATCTGTTGTTTCAGGAGGGATTTGATTTAATGCAGACATAGCCATTATGACCAGGATCCGTATGATTTAATAGGTCCGACACCTGAAATAATGTTGCAACAGGAACAATCCACTAAATATGAGCCACATCTAGATTTCAACATACATAGAATGGCAGCATTATGTTTCTAAGTCAGATAGTTGTGAGTCAGTCCCCATCACAGAGACATCTACAAATCTATATTAACACTAGCAGACATCACAGATATAACAGAATTATTAGACATAACCTGCATTAACAACCAGTGCAGCCCTGCTCCAAAATCAAAGGCCCCAGAGCATGCTCTCTCAAATGGATGTGAACATTCTTATAGCTTTAGTCAAGTAGCATAATATTGTCTTGGCCACCATTGACACTAAATCAACATCACCAGTAGATTAACTGTTATCCCATTGTTGAGTACAAAATCACACTAAGCATGCAGCTTATGTTTCACTACATTACCACAGCAATTATACTTCAAAAATATGGCAATGAATTGCTGTGACCCATTCTTTAGTGCTTAAATAGCAGGGACTGATTTGAGAAATGGCAACAGACACAAGAAAAATGGGCACACTCATGGGTAGATCACTTCATTCCATTGACTGGAAGGTGAGATTGGATATTAGGGACTGGATTTTCACTCCTGGGTCGGGAGTGCAGAGTTGGGATACTTTCCAGCTTTGGGTCCTGAAGAAAGTGTAGATTGGAGTTTTTTTTTCCCATAGGTGGCTGATTCTTTGTGAGGCAGGCTGGGTGATCCTGAATGTGTTAGCTCTGTATTGAGGATTTAAAAAAATTAAACAGCCATCCAGTCTTCACCCCAAAAACACTCCACATGCCAATCCAGGTTGACCCATACTACCTCTGACATTAGGACACTTAGTGAGACAAAATAAAGTTCTAAATATCTATTGCAGACTTTATTTAAAGGAAAACTCTAATTTACTAGAAAAATTCAAAATATTTGTATTCCTTCAACTACATAATCTCTCATAAGAACAAATATTTCATTTGAGTGTATAATCCTTTACAAAGACAATTATTAGAATTCAAAGTTACACTTCACATAATCTGTGAACACTTGGAGATATCAATCACTATATTAACCAGCAGGAAATTTACAATAATGGATGGTTGTCAGATCAATCATGCAGCACTTATCCATCAGGCTTACATAAACAGATAGAGTGAAATAGCAACATTCATATTAACATTCCTTTAACATGATTCCAAAGATTTATAGGATGAGTTTTAAAGGCAGTTCCCTTTTAAACTTGCTTTTGACTTTGACGCTTTTAGTGGTTGTTTTTGATAGTCGACTTTGTTGTTCCTTTTGACAATTGTGATGAGTTTGGAAGTTAACAAGTCAGTGTGCTTCCTGCTCTCAAAGGTATTACAGACTCATATCCAGTGAGATACCACCTTTATAAAGAACTGCCCAAAATGCAGACCTGTTCTTGCTAAGTCTAATATGCACATCATGCAGTTCACACAAGTGGGTCCCCACACTCAGATGACTGGAGGCAGTTGTTGATTTATATAGATAGCTGGTGTTTGCAAAATGTTACTAATTCCCAGTGCTGCACACCTGTGAAGATTGCATATGCCATAGTAGGAGGTGGGAATTTTTCCTCAGCCTCCTTTAGCTTTCGCATTGACTCAGTCATTACAAAAATCCAAGCCTAGGATGTAGTTTGCAAGGTGTTCCGATTGGCCCTTTGGTGAAGATCCCCAATTTCTTGTGATTCTGGATGGGATACTCAAAGGGTTATTCTACCACGTGAGGAATGAATTGACTGCTCTTTAATCAACCCATTTGTCAGCTCATTACAGAAAGGTCACTTTAAAATGGATTACTTCTACAATGATACTTATATTCTTAAAGGAGCCAATTAAATCACATTAAATGAGCATTACATCAGGTTTATTAGCTATTAAAAGATGAGATGATAAAAAGGTGACACACAAAGTATAAATAAGATGGAGCTCCAAAAAGTTAAATATAGTCAGTCTTTTTATTGTGTGTCATGAACAAGTAAATGATTTGAATTGAGGAGCTTCATAATAGCACAGAGGGTTAGGAAGATGAGATTTGATTAAAGACTGTATTCAAAACTACAGCAAATATGCTATGCATAACAAAATAAGCACTTCACAGGAGCTTTATTGAAAAAATACACTGAACCACAGGGAGGGGGCAAAGCCAAAAGCTTTGTTTTCTACACACAAAACATCTCAAACAAAGTTGTTGGGGTGGGGAAAGATAAAGGTAGAAACAAAGATTTAAATAGGGAATTCCACAGCTTAGGTCAGAGTTTGCTGAAGGTATGGCCAGTAATGTTAGAACACGTAATGTTCAAAAGGCCAAAATCCACCCCACCCCTGACCACCCCTAAACAAAAAGTGTGGTTGGAGAGTGCAGAGATTAGGAGGAATAAGCTTTGGAACTAACACAAGTTAAGATTAATGTGGCTTAATCAAGAGCAAGGATTCTGCAAGTGCAAAAGGGACTTGATGCAAGAATAACTTTATGTATGCTAGAAGCCAAAACCCAAAAAAAAAGGTCTAGAGAAAAAGGGCTAATTAAGGCTTCAGCCTTTGCAGGATGGAGTTGGAGGTTACAGTCAGAACTGGTGGTCATAGTGACTGACAAGACTGCTTTTGAGGTCATCTGAGTCAAACATGCTAAAATCAAGGTTACAGCAACCTGGTTCAAACCACTTAATAGCTCCCTGGGTCTTTTCAGTTCATTTACCAAGCCAAATCTGTTACCAACCACGTGGGGGAAATTTTTAATCTGCTAATTTTAGCAGAAGTTGGAGCAGAGATGGTTATTAGAACTTGGTCTTGATAGTTTGCATGGAAAATGTTTTTTCAAAAAAAAAAAAAAAAAAACCCCCAAACCTTTGGGAAAGAAATCACAGGTAAAATGGGACAGATTTGAGGGAAGCTGTTGCATGTGATTCAATAGAAATTGAATGATGCATGTCTTTCCCAGCCAGCTGGCATGTTGAATCAGCACAATATGGTCAACTGAAGTTGGTAGACCAATCTGTCACAGGAAGAATTCAAACAAATTGAAAGAGGGTGGTATACTAGACAAGAACTCAAAAGATCCAGGGGTGGTACAGTAGCTTCATGATTAGCACTGCTACCTCATTGCCAGGGACAATTCCAGCCTCAGATTGTGCCAACACCACACATGTCTGCATGAGTTTCTTCCCACAGTCCAAAGATGGGTTATGCTAAATCACCCAGGGATGTTTGGATTAGGTATGGAAAATTAGGGGAGGTGGGTCTGGGTGGGACACTGCTCAGAGGAACAGGGTGGACTGGTTGGGCTGAATGACCTGTTTCCACACTGTAGGGATTCTATGAACCAGACTGGTGGAGAAATGGCTGGACTAGTGGTACTTTGATCTTGCCAAAACTCTAGCTCAAGGGGGTAGTGTAGTTGAGGATGGAGAGTATGCTGATCTCTTGGCTAGAGTTATGGATGTATTCACTATTTCTATAGTGCTCATTATCTACAACAATAAGGAATACTTGAATTCAGTCACTATCCTAAGAAGTATGCCAAAAGCTATGCTGTTTAAAGCAAGCCATGAAAGTTCTTATTGCCAAGAACTACAGCTCTTTAAAGCAGGAGCTTTGGACCTCTCAATTAAAGCTGCTACTGGGAGACAAATCCAAGCCTCAAGTGATCTTACTGCTTGCACATAAAAGCATGGGCATTTTAAGCAATTACTTGTCAGAGTGATCAAACTTAAAGTACACTTCCAAATCTCACTCACATGGCAGTTCTCAATTTCCCTCAGCCAAATGGAAAAAAAAGATCTTAAAGCAAGCTTTACATCCCTGCAAGTCTCATCATGAAGTGGTTTTGACATGCCCCTTGAGCCCCAGTGAAACATTTGGAAAAAAAACAAATGCCATGTTGAATGCTAAGAGAAAAGCAAGGAACTCAATCCATTTGAAAGAGGTGGTAGGAAAGAGTTATACAAGACAAAAACATGCCATGTTTGCATTTAGATAATCCTTTGTATTCAAAGTCCAAAGCTGTTACCCTTTTCAATGTTAGACTTTATTTGCTTCACAAGTTTAAAAAGTGACAAAAACATACATAAAAGCTATACAAATGCAAGCTATTTTGAAATAGAGCTTTCATAATCCAAGCTAAGCAGCTTGATATCTTATGGCATATATACACACACGTAAGAATCTAGGCTTCATGTTGTACATAGCAAGTAATTTATCCAGTTCAATAGTAGAGAATTAAGAATCAATTCATCTTTCCTCCAATTGCTTTCAGTAACAAAGTGACTTTTTTAAAAAAAAACAAGAATATTGCATTCTACTCTTATGGTCAGGGCACAAATTAGCCAATGCTCCAGTTATGTGGTCAGTGCTATTTTGCTGTAGAGATCAAGCAAGACATCTGGATCACTTGACTGTTGATATTGCTGCACTGGACTGCATTCACATTAAATTTAGACATGGTAGCTTTTGTTCAGACTGTAAAGAGGAGAAAGTATGATACAACAGTTAATTCCTAGAATGGTGTCACTTCTCTACATTTCCCAAAAATGTAGGGATGGAGGAAAAAGACAAGCCTTGAGATCAATGACACTTTTGCATTTAGTATCATCAGTAAGTGACTCAAGTTGCTGGCCTTAAATATTAAAATGCACTAGCAATTTAAGTGTAGATTGACTTGTTAAAGATGCAGAAACATTGCTAGAAGTATTCAACTTCAAGTATCAAACATGTCCTATTTGGCACTGATTTTCATGTCAGAAGTTCTGTTATTCTCAGATCAGAAAAGGTTAAGGATTTCTTGCCAAGTTAGCTTTCATGTTTCATTCTTTGCCATCAATCTTGCAGTACAGGTACATGGACACCACCATTGCTGCAATCTGAAAAACAGTTAGCGAAGTCAACAAGTTGAGCTATATAATAAAGGAGGCTCAAAAGGTTGCATTTGACTACAAAATTGCAGTAACTCTACCTCAGCTCATACAGGCAATGTTAGAGGGCAAACTGTGCAAAAGTGCTCCTTGGCCAAAAAAAAGCAAAGTGTCTAGTGAGGGTACAAATTTTACCTCCATAACAAGGCAAGTGTTCAAAATTTTTACATTTATAGTTAACACTTAGGGAATACAACAACATTCAACCAAGTTCAGAGGTTTGATAAATTAAGGCCAAGATTTTAGTTCAGTTTTTGAAATGCACTTAATTATGCAAGTGCAGAGAGTTCAGAATGAGACAGTAAATTCTACTTTATGAACATGTAAAGGCTGGCACTAAAGGAAATCTTTGATTTCAGATCAGAAAACCATACCTCTAATGCACAGATTCCTGCTGCAATCCCTCCTACAATGTTAGCATTCTCCTTCAAGATGTCAAAAAGTTGACGAAAACATCCCTAAATGTAGAACAATTTTTATTAAAGGGGTAATATAACAATACTGAAAGAATTAAAGCTATGGAATATTGAGGTGATGGCAAAAGAAAGTGAGTACCTGTACATCACTTTTAGCAGCTGCAGTCTCAGTACACAGGGCTGTTGAATTGCAACAGAATGCTGGAAAGGTATTGTTGTGGTTTCTGAAGTAATAGGAACCCACAAAATCTGTGTAGTTGCTGAAGCCACAGCATTTCAACTGCAGTGACAGAGAGAAGTACAAGAATTCAATTCTGCATTAGCAGCAACACTAAGCAATAAAGTTAACAGTTTGCCATGCAAGGGAGATTACAAACAGCTCATTGGCAAAGATAGTTCACAAGTCAATGCCATTCTAGCTCAATGTTCAAGTTGTCCCAATTTGGGAGATTCTTTCATCTTTGACAAAGTCTGTCCCCCACCCCAAAACAGAACCTTTTAGGCTGAAACCAAAGTTTTTTTTTTCTTAATCATCAACAATGGCCTTATACCTGGAACACCCTCTCCAATCTGAAGTTATTCTTGCAGTGCTACATTTTCCTTAATCTCACTACTTTGTCAGTTATTACAACTTTCCCTTGCTTTGCAGCCAATCCTAAAGAGATGCTTCCTGTTAAAGAAGTGAGAACGAGTCACTTTGTTTAGAGCTTATCCTAGGGGAGACCTGCAGATAGAGAATTTTTGGGACTAGCTCAAATGTTACTGCCAGTGTATAATGGTATCCATTTTAGTCAGGAATTGGGATAGTGGTTAGAAAGCTCAAAAAGTTACAATTAAACATCTATTGACTTCTCAATGACATTCCTCCTTTAATCTAAAGCCAGCTGCTGTTTAACTAGTGACAACTGATTTACAGCATAGTTGAGGATTTGTTGAAGCCTTTTGACCAAGGAAGATTTGTTGCTGTTACAGGAAAACAAAAGCAATTACTTCACTCATTGTAGTATTCCAGATACCAGTCACATCGTTTCTTCTTCCATAGTCATTTTGCAGTACTGGAGTAACCCATGCACGTAGAAGACTTTCTGCCTACAAAAAAAAAAAGCTGTTGAAGCACTCAGTTTAAATATGGCAGCAGTTCAAAAAAAAGACAGTAGTGCAACAGGTGAAGGAAGAGTCAGGTCTAACTCAAGTGGGTAACTGCATAAAGTAGGAATCTACTTTATAATCTGTCTCCACAAGGATGCAGACTAGAGCAGCAAAGCAGGGAAGAGAAGGAGTGGATGATGTTAAAGATGACATTAAATAAATAGTGTCAGGAAGGCAATATGCAAATTGAAGTGAACAATTTAAGCTTGTGTGCAGAGTCTTGTTAATACTCATTTATTTTCAGAACTCTGTTCAATTAATTCCCCATTTGAACCAAAACAATTTTATTGTGCTTCTAAACTGGTGTTGAAGGGAAAGTTACCACATGGAGAAAACTGAGAAGTAATATTATAGGCAATTTATGTCAAGTCATTTGTTGTGTGGTACCAGCATTAAATACCTATTTAATTCAAGTTAAAAAATTTGATTATCCTCCATAATTTTAGTGCTGGAGGAATGTTTGTACTTACAAAGGAAGAATACACCAAAGCAACAACTGCAGCAGCAATCTCAGCAATAAAGATGATCAGAACAATGGCAAAGAACTAGAAAGAAATGAAATGGAATGTTAGTCTACTCACAGCTGACCTGGAATACCATTATTTTCTATTAAAGTCTATAATTGCATTCATAGAAAAAAAAGTCACTGCTACTTCAGTTGAAAGGTTATAAGCAAGCACCAACAGGTAGTCCAAAACAAGAGGCTATGGGCTTGTGTTATGTAGTGGCCCTGCCTGAGGTAAGGAGGGACTGGCTCAAGTCCCAAACCCTCTTAACCCACTTGGAGGTGGGGCTGTATGTCAGGAGGTGGTTGGTCTTTTTAAAAAAAAAAAACTAAAAATGCAAAAAAAAAAGGCCTTCTAGCACAGTATTTTTCTTTATCTATGGACCAGGAAGAAGTCCATGATCAAACCTTATCTGCCATGTAAGGTGATACACCCCTGAATAATTTGTTAGAAAATTGTGGGCAGGAGGAGTTCGTGATAGTGGTAACATGTCCCATCTCCAAGTCAGGAGGTCTGGGTTCAAGTCCCTCCCCAACTGCTGGGACATTCAAAAATCTGGAAGTGCAAAAGATGATATTCAAGCCTTCAATCAAGTTTAGTTGAGCAGTTGGAACACAATATTGACCAAGTTAATGCTGATCAGGAAGCAAGAATAGGCCAATTAGATTTGACCATGACCAATTTGCTTCTGTACATTTGATCCAGAATCTGTACAGAAAGAATTCTTGATCTTTGGCTGAGACTACTGGGCCACTCACCATTTTACAGATTTAGCATCTGGATTAAAATTCTTCCAGAACATTAAGCTTCAAAACAAAAAATCCTTCCAAGAGGAATTTGAGTAATCAGGGAAATTTTGTACCTATGCAGTTTAGTAATTTACCTGAGAGAATGGAAATCATCCAAGTGGATCTCTTGAACCAAGAGACAAAGTGCAAGGTATCAGTGATGTAATATTAGTACTTACCAATATTAGTAGACACTTGCTTTCTTTCTGTGCTCCACAGCATCCCAAAAATCCAAGGAGGACTAACACAGCACCAATTGCTATGCAAAAGTAACCAACATTGACAAATTGCATTGCTTGAGATGACACTGGTCCAATGACTCGTATGAAAGAGCTTCCATCCACACTGACCCATATTCCAACACCAAGAAGAGCTCCTCCAGCAAGCTGCAACAGTGGAAGAGACATTAGTTATGATCAATTTCACTTGTGCAGAAACTGTCCTTAACATTTGTATACTAGAAACAAGAGAATTAAAGTGGTCATAATGCAGCCAATGTAATGGTTTCAAAGGATTAAAATATAGCAATAATATTGTTACACAGGTTGAGCAGGAGATCCTCAAGTCAGATGGTCAGCTCCAGCTCCTAGTTTGTCTAGAGGAATGTTCAAAGCCAACCAAGACTGGCATGCAGTTGCAGAGAGAAGTCACTGAAAACAGTAGAGAACAGGCTCATTGGTCCACCAAGACTGGGCTTTGGCACAATGCCTTTCACCTCTGCAGTCCCTATTTGGTCAGATCTGTCAAGTTGCCTCTTAGAGAGTTGCTACTATATCTGCTTCATCTCAGTACACACCTAATTGTTATATGCTATGCCCTAACCAATGGAAGTATGCTATACACCTTCTTGACCATCTCATCCACTAGCATTGCTGCTCAGGGAACCATGGACCGGAGTGTCCAGATCTGTGTTGATACTACTAGGGATTCTGCCATTTATACTTCTCTCCTGACCACCCCCTGCTGCTGTGTGCATCCCCCATTAAGTCTCCCAAAATGCATCACCTCTTGTGGATTAAGTGCCATCTGTCATTTCTCTGCCTAGGTCTCCAGCAGATTTAGAATCTTACTGTATTTTCTGGCAATGCTCCTCTTATCTAGAGATCAGAAGCTTTAGTAAATTTTCATCAGGCCATCTATATTCTCAAATCAAAAAAACTACAACAGGGACCCATCCATCTACTCAAAAGCAGCCCTCCATTGCAGTCTATGAAGCCAGCTCACTAGATACAAAAAAGGAAATCACAGGGTATCAGCCTGTCAAAAGGCTGAAGACCCTTCTAAGTCCATACAGACAACATCTACCACACTGCCCTCAACTAGCATTTGAGACTAAGCTTCCCAGCAAAGTGATGCTGACTATTGTTTTCCAAATGACTGAATCCTACCCCTAAAGATCTAATAAATTTCCTTCCTTCTAGTTAATTTCCTCAGGTTTGCCCTGTTGCCCATTGACTATTCTCTAGTTCAAGAGCTCTCGGGTTGGGGGGGGGGGGTGCAGTGGTGGTGGAGGACAGAACAGTTTTGAACAAGGCCCCAGCAGTTTCTGCACCTGTCTCCCTCAGCATTCTAGGAAAGAGAATAAGGTCCTGGGGAACTTTTGTATCTTAAGGCTTTAAGGCACCCAAAGACATCTTTATTGTCATGTTGTAGAAGATAGAATCACCATGGCTTTTTTTTGGCCAATACTGATGCAGTTAAAAGGACCTCACCTACTTTCTCTAGCTCCACACAAATTCCTTCATTTGTCCTGGAGTTGATCTCAAGCACTGCAGTTGGCTCTGATAATAGTTCTATTCTTATAGAATCTGCATTAAGAAAACTGTATAATTGCAGTGCCATTTAAACTTAGGGTGCTGGAGTCAGGTAAGAAAAGTTTGTGTTCTACAACTAGAAGTCTAAATTCTAGAATTGTGTTAAAGCTAACATGCATATGTTATAGCAGAACTGACTGTATTAATTTAATGGGCCAAAGGTCCACTAAAAAAGGAAACTCCTCTTGTTTTGTAGGCACACTGCTGGGCTACTTAACCATAGTTTGTTGAACAAGTATACAGGATCCTTCAACTATTATTTGATGATTTTATGTGCAGAAGAACCAATCAAGGCCATTCAGCATGTCAAACCATACTGGTTCAAGAACTCAGCTGTGCCATCACTACCCACCTCCAGGTGCCTTCTGAACACTTGCTCAGAAGAGACTGAATAATACAATAGTAAACTGCATTACAATGCCAAGGGGACTGCATGCAAGCTTGATTATATTACAGGAAAACACAATGAGGCTAGTTTAAAAAGTCCACTTGGTAGTAAGAGAACAACATGAACAGTATGAAATTATTCTTTCAGGCAATTAGAAAAGCAGTTGGAAAATATTAGAAGCATAATGGAGGTTTTATGTACATGCTCATGCAATATGAAAGTGAAGTGCAGGTTCAGGAAGGTTTAAACTAGATGTTGACTTTTATTGGAAGGGTCATTGAGGATGAAACTTCTTGCATGTTCAACACTACTTATGTACTATATTAAAATAGTAGTGTAGTCTTGCAGTTGTGGACAGCTATGTAGACCTTGTATTCTTCCAGTCTTTAAGGATATACTGGGGTGCTCACAAACTCTCAGTAACTGCATCATTCGGATGGAGGGTAATGAAACAATTTTGTACTTTAGAATGAGTCACTCGAGGTGCTGACAGGACTGCCCCACCTAGCCAGCAGAGGGTGGAGAATTTAGGGCCCCCAATCTCAGGATTAAAAGTGTTAGCTATCTAGGGACTTTTGTTTGCAAGACCAAAAGTTAGATTTTTGCTCTGGAAATAAAGGATATGGCAAAATGGAATGGAGATACAGTAGCTTAATTTTAGTAATATCAGGCAGAGAAAAATCAAGTTTGCTCCATTTGTGGTAGGACAGTAATACAAGAGACTAGACCCAGGAAAGGGGGAAAACAAATCAGGAATTAGAAAGGAGGAAAAAGGTATTTTTAAAAGAGTGACTAGCTCCTTGTCACAGGTAATGATAAATAGCTGGAGAGAGATACTAATCTATTTCATTAGTATTTTAAAAGTGTACAATGTGGGTACAGCATTATAACTTTAGGGCAGAAGGGGAATAGGAAACAAGGCAGAAGTCAATTAGTGGAGACATGTTCAGCTGACATTACTATTTTGTTATTCAAGTATTGCAGTAGGTCAAAGCATGCCCTCCATTTCATGCCCCCAAAGACTTGAATGTACTTACAAAGATGAAGAGGTTGAATAGGATCATCAAAACTTTGATGACGGTAAAGCACCCCATTTTCACTTGTAATGCGAAAACCTGCAATGACAAGTCAAAAACTTTAAGCTTGGTATTATGTAATCTATAAAGGTGAAACCAAAAATATAACTCAAACAATTGTGACCAATCCAGAAAGACAAGTTTTTCCACTGAAGTACCAATAATTCAAATCCCTAGTATTAGGAAAAATTCTGAAGATTCATTGTATTCTATTCAATGACTTCCAGATATCAGTAAGTCTCCCAACTAACTTGTAATACTGGGAAGTAGTTGAGGTCTTGAGACTTCGCTCCCCACCCCCCCCCCCCCACCATCTCAATCGTTCAAGCCTGCAATCACTTTCATAAAGGACAGACTTTAGATACATGGGACCACTACCTGCAATTTCCTGTCCAAGTCAGGATTTTGAGCTAAAACCACTACTTTCTGAAGTAGGGCCCAGACCTGAAACGTCAGCTTGTCTGCTCCTCTGATGCTGCTGGGCCTGCTGTGTTCATCTAGCTCTACACCTCGTTATCCAAGGCATTTAGGTATGTTGTTAACAAGATTAACATTGAAACAGTAGGGCATTACAAACAAAGGGAAGTCAGTGGGTGGAGCCAGAGGCCATGGGTGAGGTCTTTAATCCTTATCTGTAGTCACAAGACAAGAGTGCATTATAGCCAGTGATTTCAGATCCTACAATATTAGTGATGGGGTAACAATGTTTCAGCAGCCCTATTTACACAAATCCTCAAACTAATGAGATATATACCAGGCATGGAGGGGTGGGGGAAAGAAGAGGAAAGAGAAAGAAAGGGAGGAGGTTGCTGGAGCCTTGGCAGAGTTTAAATTCTTTGAAAAACTGAAAGAATTGCAGATGCTGTTAAAAAAAGTTGCTAGAAAAGCTCAGTAGGTTTGGCAGCATCTAAGAAAGAAGTTAATGTTTTGGGTCTGGTGACCTTGCCTCAGAACTGATCCTAACCCAAAACATTTACTGATTTTTCTTAAGTGCTACCAGACCTGCTGGGCTTTTCCAGCAACTTGTTGTGCTCAAAATATTTTTAAAGTAAGTGCCAGATATAAAGAGGATTGAAGGGTAACTTTTTCATGTAGAGGGTGATGTGTACAGAACAAGCTGCCAGAACTGGTGGTGGCTGGTACAACATTTAAGGCATCTGAACAATTACATGCCTGGGAAGAGTTGAGGTATATAGGCCAAATGGGACTAGATTAATTTAGGATATCTGGTCAGCATGGATGAGTTGAACTGAAGGGTCTGTTTCTGTATTGTATGTTGGACTCTGGAGGTGATAGAATGGGATTCCTTTGAACAAAGGAATAACAGCAGGGATAGGCCAGGTAATGACAGTGGTTGGGATGCCACTGGAAAGAGTGACAAGAACAGGATTAAAAATCAATACTTGGAAAGGCATTGATTGATCAGGGGACACAAGTATGGGTTTGTTGGAGAAAACAGTTTGCTTTGAAACTCGCAGGTCTGAGTTTGTGGGAAGAAAACAGTTAAGTGTTGAGTCAGTCACAGTCTGTTTCCATGCTGTAAGACTGTTCAGCCTAACTCATTTAGGCTACCCAATTTCCTCATTGGAACAAGTCCCACTTGCCAGCTTTTGACCTATAAATCTTTCCTATTCACATTTGGAAGAGTACATCTTAATGTTGCATTTTGGGACGCAAGTAATATACATAGTGGTAAGGAACAGAGGGACCTTAGTGTGCAAGTTCCTAGATCCCAAAGATGGCAGCAGTTAGACAGGGTGCTGAAGGCAGCATACAAGATGCTGGTCTTAGTTAGCTGGTGTGTGTATAGAATATCAAAAGAAAGGATGTACTGTTCAATACTAACAAGAATTGGTTAGACCACAAGTGAAATATTGTGTGCAGTGCTAGTCACTGCAATATGGGAAGTACATGATTGCACTGGAGGTCTGCCAGGACATTGGGTTGGTTTTCCCCTGGAGAGGTGGCTGATGGGTGTGCAGCAATGGCAGGGAGGGAGGAGGAGAAAGAAGGGGGAATTTGAGTTATAGATCAGGTAGACCATGAGAATCTTTCCTCTCACCTGCTAGGTCTAGCCCAGCACTAAAGTGGAGGATGCACAATAGTTAGAGGTCAGCATAATTTACACTTTGCAGGAGTAAAGAACACATGACATTCATTTGTCTAGAAGTGACTGTATAACTGACATTGTAGGCAAGTTGGATACTTCAGTGTTATGGGAAGGCCTTGCCCCTCATTTTGGAAACTCTCAATGAAAATCTTGGTTTTAGACAAGCAAACCAGAGATCATGGAATCCCTAAAGTGTGGAAGCAGGCCATATCAACTCAAAACCATCCCACCTAGAGCCACTGACCTCCTTTCCCTATCCCCAGGAACCTCCATTTCCCCATGGAAGATTCACCTGGCCTGCACATCCTAGGACACTAGGGCCATGCTAAATTGCCCATCTACCTAACCTAGGTATCTGCACTGTGGGAGGCAGCCTGAGCACCCAGATGAAAGCCATGCACACATGGGGGAAGAACATGCAAACTCCACAGATATTCAGAGGGTGAATTGAACCTGGGTCCCTACTTTATTCATCAGAATCTACATCTGCAATAAAAGGCTAACAAGCAAGGTACACAACATATTCAGCACATTAAACAGTAGATTTGCTAACTAAGACTTATTCCTAGACTAAGGTAGAGATCATTGATTTTTAATTAACCCAACTTTAACAGGAACTCATTAAAACTCAAAATAGCTTTAGTGATTTGCAGAGGGGGAAACTCATGCAGGAGAATATTGTAAGTTTAAATTGTTCAATTAAGGTAGTAAATGCTATGTGTTTAAAATCACAACTGTAGATTATTATAGCAGTGAATACAACAATGGTGCTCAGGGCTTTAGTTCAGACCAGGTCACGATTAGTGGTGGACCTTTTCCAGCATATAGCCAACTTCAAATCAGACTCCTGGTTTAGTATTTAACTGAACCAGAAGTTGGGTTTGCAAGTGTTTAAGAGAGTCAATATAACAAAGTTTGGAATCTATTTTAGACCAGATGTATCCATCCAAAATTCCTATTTTTGACCACTTGGTTAGCTTGTTGATATTACCGAGATTAGATCAGTTGCAAGTCAGTTGGTTGAAATAATAGATTAGCACGAGGCAAGCTGTTGTAGAGCAAACTCAAGTTTTCCAAGGCTTCCAGAGGGTAAGTCAGGTTTGAAGGTGCTCTGCAGCAAGTCAATGCTTCCCATTACAGCGTACCATACAGATTAAAACTTCTGGCACAGTACCATCTCCCATTAACTGAGAACCAGGCCTTTCACTCCCCCAAACAAGTGGGGGAAGTTCCCTTTAATCAGGCCGGGAGAGAGAGAGAGAGAGAGAGACTTGCCGACTCCACTTTGATCGTTGAATCAGATTGCAGTTGGTGCCTCGTAGCGCTTCTTGTATAATCGACGTGTCCGAGACCAGAGCAGGAAATAAAGCGATGCATTCGTTAGCTTTACGGAGAACATCTTACCGGCCCGTAGGAAGGGGAACTTGTTGGCTAAGATTATTTCGTAGCTTTTTCTAAAAAAAAAGCCACTTGCCAGCAGTGTTTGACTCGTCATCCAGATGGGCAGGTGGTTTCGTACCAAAGTTTCCATAACAGGGGAATAAAAGCCGTTCGACGAGGCGTGGGATTAAGAAGAGAGTGCGGCTTGACTTTAGACAAAAAAAGATTAAAATTGCACTGAATATCTTAAGTGTAGCGACAGTAATTTTAAAAGTTTAGTCTATAAAGCCAAGAGTCAGGACAAGGTCTAAACTTTTAGATGTTACTAAAAAGACGCTCAACGCAAGCCCAAAATACATTTTCTCGAATTTTATAGAACTTACCTTTTACTTTGTAGGTACGGTCTAGATAGACCAGAAATACAATTTAGTCAAGGCACCTACTTTTTTCCCCTCTTAGCCAAATACAGGTGCCTCACCAGGTGAGCACATCGTATTTAAGGAGGGGGGGGGGATTTTTAGGTCATCGCTTTAATTGACATCAATTTTAACCAATTGTCCTCGGCAGTGGGTTGGACCTACTGATGAATTTAGCTTTGATTTACATAGCAGGACAGGTGCTTATGTTTGCGCCCTCTTGTGAGGAGCTATAGTTCGTGGAAATGGTGACACGTCAAAGCCGCTTATACCTGCCCTGACATTGCATCTTTTGTATGACTCAGGAATGTTAAATAGAATCAATTCGTCATAATGGGCCTTCTACAAGTTAGGCCTAGTGTTGCAGCATAGAATCAGGCCCTTCAGCCTAAACTAGGGCATGCTGCCCACTCAGCTAGTTCCAATTGCCCACATTTGGTTCATATCCCTCCAAACTCTTCTTCTCATTCATGCCCTCTTCAAATGAGGGACTATTACTATTGTAACTGCCTCAACCACTTTCTCCAGCAGCCTATTCCAATGCACACATCACTCACTGCATGAGGTTACCCCTCAGATCCTTAAGTTTTTCCCCTCTTATCTTAAAGATTGAAGTAGTCAGGAGAGCTCACAACACTACTTAAGGAGGCTTTTTCTTTAAAAAAAAAGAAGTGTTACACTGCAAGAAAATTTGACCACTTTTAAAAAGGGGTGTTATTCTTAAGTTGCAGCCATTCTTAAGAGAACATTCTCCCATCTCATTTTGATGATAAGCCACTCCATAACAAATCCTGGTAAACCAAAGACATAAATTGGATTTGCCAGTGCCAACTTCAAAAAAAAAACACAGGCAAAGACTGAAGTTCTATCTTACATCACATCTCAATGAGTAGTTGTCTTCCTTAACATGGTGCTTCCAGGGTCCTAGTAGATCAGCAATCTTCATACTGTACTCTTTGATGACTCTGAATTCTCTCTGCATCAACTACTCACTCATGGCTATTTGTACTGATCTAGGTAGCCCACAAATCCTTTTCTTAATGAGATGGTCATTCCTTTGTTAATTGACATCATCTATTTCAGCTGCATGCATTATCATAGCCTCATGGAAAGGGGAATATTCCTTATCTGATCACAATGTTTAACTAAATTGCCAAACATCCATTGTAGGGATGCTCAAACAACATGGCACTCAGCCTGTCCCTATATCCCAGCTGACTGAATAGTACATGGGAAAGGACAAAAACAGAAGTTGCTGGTAAAGCTCAGCAGGTCTGACATAATCTGTGAAGAAAATAATCAGAGTTAACGTTTCATGCATGGGAAAGGCCAGTTTTCACACTTAGAACATTCCCTTAGCTCAGATTTCCCAGTGAAATCTGGATCTTGTGGCAGTGATCTCCCCTGGCACCAGGAAGGTCCTAATCGCCTGCACCCAAAACACAGAACTTTGCAGCTTCATGTAACTTTCCTTCCCTCTTCTCTAGCAGCAGAATCTTGAAAGGATGACTGTACTTTTCACAAAGAAATGACCCATGCAAGAGACTGTGAGAAAAGCCATGTATTTCGGGTGGATTTCCCCTGCCTGGCAGGAGGGAGGAGATTGGATAACCTATTGCTTTCCTAATGTAATTTTGTTTGCTTTTTGAGTTGCTCCTCAGTGATTGGACATGATCGCTCTCACTTATTTGATCATTTTTATGTCTCTTGCAACTTTTCGCTTACAACACAGGACGTAGGTGGCACTCATCTACTTGATCGACAAGTTTTTGCCAGGATTTCAATGTCAGGTTTCCTAAGGCCTGGGAAACAGAGGCATAAAGGGTTAACATTGAAAAAGCTGAATAACAATGAAGCTCGCAGCCTCGTTGTCACATTTGAGTGTCCTTAAAGAGGGTTTGTTGGTTGTTCACACCCCTGTCCCCATCCTGTCCTCCACCTCAAGTAAAGCTATGTGGGTGGGTTGCAGATAGGTTTGGGTCAGGTATCTGATACTGTATTTCCAAAAGGTTTCATTGCCCAACCTAAGCCTACCCTCTTCATGGTTAAAATTTCCTCCTACAACTTTGCAACTCCACTTTCAGCATGTTATTTATTTGAGCCCCTAGGTGTCACTGTTCATCCACACCATTCAGTATCATCGCAAAATACATTTGTTCTCTTTAATTCACAATAAGTTGCATTTTCCATGTTGGTCCATTCCAATAAGCTCTGTTTCTTCTGAAGTCTTTTACTGTCTTCTTTTCTGTTTGCCAAATCAACTCTCCTGCATCATCAGTAAGTCTGGGTTGTTCTGATTTCAGTCCAGTTTCGACTTTTACTATCTTGTTTCTTGCTCATTCGCCATCAACACCAATTGCAAGCACTCCTACCTCACTTCTTTTAGTTCAGGTCTTTTGCTCATGATTTCTGTGGCTAAACGGTGCTGGTACATTAGGAACACTGCTTAAGCACTGTTGAATAATACTACCGTCTTCCATCTCTTTGCTGATGATTGAGAATAGGCTGATGGAGCATAATTAGCCACACAAGATTTGACTGCTTTTAGTAATTAGGATATATTATGCAATTTTCCTCTTTTTTGTAATCTCTGGTACTGTGGTTGTACAAGAACAGTTTGGCTAGGGCATGGCTAGTTCTAGAGAATGTATCATAAGCACTATCAACAAAATATTGTCAGTGTCTGTAGGCTTAGCTATGTCCAGTATTATTAATCATTTATTGATATCGTACATGGAATCATATTGGCTGAAATCTTGCAAGTATGATGTTGGGGACCTTAAGAGGAGGCTGAGGTCAATTACCCACTCCACCTCTTTTTGTCAATCACCTTGTTTAAAAAAATGAATACTTCAGTGCATAAAATCTTTGGAATTGTTAATATAGAGAACGAAATTCTAAATAAACAAAATAAAATGTAACGCACTAGTCTTCATCTCTACTCCAAATAGCATTCTCGATTATTCAAGGGTTGCTGAACCACAGCTAATAATTCGAATTTGCTAAAGGTTGGAGTGAGATGGTAGGCCGCACACCTACCTCAGTTTGAACAAGGATCACATCTCGCGACGTTGACTTTATTCTGAAATTTTTTGAGTCTTCTAGGCAAGCAAATTGTGCTCCCAACAAAACTATCAGAGCTATAATGGAAACAGAAAAGCTCAGCTGGAGTCAGGCAGTATCTGTAGAGAGGGAATTGAAAAGTAAGCAACTTGAAATGCTAATTGTTTCCTTTCATCATAGAGCATTTCCAGCATTTTCTTTCAGATTTCCAGATTCTGCTTTTAAATTATGCTCAGATGTATTATTGACCACTTCTAAGGTGGTGTGGACTTCAACCTAGACCTTCTAACTAGAGGTAGGGACACCACTATTGTACCACAATAAATCCCCTCCCTCTGCCCCAGTATATGGTTTTTGTATTAACATTGCTGTAATGCCACATGGTGGTGCTGTGCCTATATCTCTTCGATACAGCAAATAATTTTAAAAAATCTCAGTTTCTGTTTTGCAAATAACAACTAAGATTAACTTTTTTAAACCACAGAACAGTAATAGGTTATCAGGTATTCATTAGAAGCAGTTTGTTCCTCTACAGGTCCTTACTCATATTTAAAGAGACATTTCCTGGTAAATGACCTACAAACCTTGTGAAGATTGCAAGCAGTGGTAACACTGACACTTAAAACGTAGTCGATATACATGATATTGCACACATGGGTAGATCTTTGTAAGATAATGTAAAGTGGGTAAGAGTAAATCATTAGCTTGTTTCACACTTCATTTTCTTTATTGACTTTAAAGGAATAAAGATTGCAAGAAATGTAGAATGGGCTGCCAATATGTTATCACTGATTTGACACTACATGTTATCTACACTGTCTCTGACACTTGGGTCTGATACTTTGCTGTTGGATCGAAAGCACAAGTTACAATAAATCCTGACTCCACAAACCAAACTTCTGGGGGGGAATGGTTGGGGTGGAGGGGTGGGGAAAGGGACTGGTTTGCATGGTAAGCACGAGAGGTTGGTGGTGGAAGGGGGCAGTGGTATGTGTAAATGGGAGCTGTGCAGGCAACCCTGGAAAGAGCTTGTTGACAGCTGAGTGTTGGGCAAAAGACTGGCCCAAATACACTGGCACATTGCCCAAGTCATGAAGGAACAATAAAAGAGGAAAAAAGTCCATCAGGCCTTATCCTTCAACTCCCCTTACCACCCACATACAGTCACCATTCCCATTTGTGCTAATCCATGTTCCATAACCACACATCATGACCTCCTTGCCAATCTATTCTTCTCTGTCCATCCCCATGGCCCTTTTAAGCTCCCATCCTTACTCCATACCAACTCAAGCTAACCCATTTCTCTCCACCACCCTTGTGTTTATACACACCACATGAACTCACCTACTATCCACCATTAAATAAAGTCTTTAAGTGACTATTGGTTAATTTACTATTTCAACAACAAATACCCTCATTGGCAACAATTCATTCACCACTTAATTTCCTTTAATAAGAATCGGAAATTTCAGGAAGATTGGATGGCAAGAGATATTGAAAGTTAAGTCAAAAAGGAGAAGGAAGCGTATGTAAGGTTTAGGAAACTGAAACCAGGCAAGGCCCTTGAGGAATATAAAGGAAGCAGAAAAGAACTTAAATAAGAAATTAGGAAGGCTAAAAGGGGCTACAAAATGTTCTTGGCAAGTAGGATCAAGGAGAATCCCAAGGCATTTTATACAAATATTAGAAGCGAGGTGGTTACCAGGAAAAGAGTACATCCACTCAAGGTCAAAAAACGGAATTTATGCATGGAGCCAGAGAAAGTGGGTGAGGCTCTTATTGAGGACTTTGCACCAGTATTCACTATGGAGAAGGATATGGATGCTAGTAAGATTAGGGAGGGATATGTTGATATTAAGGAGCATGTCAATATTAGAAAGGAGAGGTTGTTGGGTGTCTTGATAAACATTAAGGTAGATAAGTTGCCAGGCCTGATAGGACCTATCCCAGGATATTGAAAGAGACAAGGCAGGAGATTGCTAGGGCCTTGACAGAGGTCTTTGTATTCTCTTTAGCCACAGGTGAAGTCTCAG